TGTAGAACACAGCACGGATGAGCTGCCGTGTTTCATGGCATTCATCCTGGAAGTTCATAATTAAACTAAATTGTGCATCATTGTTTTTATTCTTGTGTACATTTTATATACGATTTACTGTTGTTGTTTTTTTTTACACTGGGTAAATTAGATTTTAATTTATAGGACCAACAACTTTTTTTCCCCTCGACAACGCTCTTGAATACATAAAGAATAGTGTACATAATTACAAAGTAATAATAGTGGTTGTTTTAAAGCAAGATAATTATAAATGATTTTAATAATTTTTTTTCAAACTTTAAATGAGTGTACTTTCTTCACGTGATGATTGACAGAGTGATAGAGACGTATGGGTGACTGATCACTCCCAGTCTCGAGATTTCCCACTATGGGGCCAATTTAGTTCTATTTTCTACCGCACTGAACGTATATAATTTACCGGAAAATGCGTAATTAACGTGAGATTTAATCATTACACGTTGAGCGCTAAATCAGCCCGAGGGGACAGAATGTCACCGAACTTGTCTATGCCAAAGAATTGTTTCTCCATTCCAGTCCAGAAATTTCGTGTAAGGTTGGAGAGGTCAGGTATGCCAGCGGCTGTAATCACTATAGTCATTTTTATCGTATTAATCTACATTTGTTAACTTATTAAAATAGAATATATTATAAATTAACAATACAAACGAAAAATTACTTATTAACAGTTTATTAACAGTACAAGAACAAAGTTATTTCTTAAAGTTTATTTATTAATAATATTAGAGCAAAATTACCTTTTAACAACTTTATAAACAATACTGGTGTAAATTTACTTTTTAACAGTTTTTTAACAATACTACAGCAAATTTACTTTTTAACAGTTTATTAACAATACTAGAACAAAGTTATTGCTTAATAGTTTATTTATTAACAATATTAGAGCAAAATTACTTTTTAACAACTTTATAAACAACACTGGTGTAAAATTACTTTCTAACAGTTTTTAACAAGATTAGAGCAAAATTACTTTTTAACAACTTTATAAACAATACTGGTGTAAAATTACTTTTTAAGAGTTTATTTGTTAACAATCTAATCAAAAACACCTCAGGTGTGTCAGTTTTAGTGTTTTTTACTCTTTATAAAGATGCTTATTGTTTTAAAATAGTGGCGTACCTCGGTTTTTTATTTAAATAAGTACGACATATAAGAGCCTTTAAAATGAAACGAATATACAGTAGTAATTGAATACGAAACAAAGATATCAGTTGTTACCACGGGCTTGGGAAATGTAGTGAAAATAACTCATTGACACTGTTGTTATGGTAACACTGCAATTGTGGAAATTGTTATGCGTTTGGAAATACGGCTAGAACAATAATTATTTTCCTTTGTTGTTTAGTGTGTTTAATAAACGAAATCATATGTTGGTAATATGAATATTCCATCTTTGTCGACATATGTTTACACAAAACATCTACGAAAGTTTAATATGAATCAAAATATCCACGAGAAAATATTAATTGGTATTTGTGGTCGAGTAACCTAAAGTTCATCTTTGATGCTGCTTTCGCCATCTAGTGGACATGCCAAACAAAATCTGCTGCAGCAATGTTCGAATTCTCGGTAAAAAAAAAAAAGTAATTATAAAACAGCGTGACAAAGATAAACACTTGAGTAGATATTTAATGATCGAAACAATGTATCATCGACGTCATTATTTCTCGTATATAATTATCGCAAATCGTAGAGTTTACTATTTTGAAATGCTACTTAACATGCTGTCAGTATGGTATCTATTGTAGATATGGGCCTGCTTATCTTACCTTTCTCTACGTGTATCTAGTTCGTCGTCACTGCTACTTCCAGAACCAGTATCGAAAAGTGGAAGACATTTTAAAAACCTGAGTTTCTTTTTATTAAGATGGACAGATAGCCCAGAACCCAATGTGCACTAAGAAAGAAATACATCTATTTAGTATTTACTGAGTATCTGAAACAAGTATTGTATACTGTTTTATTTGTATGAAGAAAAAAACAACAACTGTGAGCTTATTTGTTTTATTTTAACTTGTTCAGATGAAATAAGACGCTTTCATTTTTCTTTAAGTTTTACCAAACCTTGTTGCTGGTCGTGTTTCCTTGACCTTATCATTTTTCTCTCCTTTTATCCATTTCGCTACAAATCACACAAGTTGGGAAGTCACACGTAACGGACTAATGCTTTTTACTTTCCACGTGGCTAGCTTCTTTTCAACTCGAAAAGAATGAGGGCTCATATTTCTGAATATTTCTTTTCTATTATGGGGTTGGAGGCGCACGTGTGCATTTAAATTCGTCAGTTCCTGCACACAAGCACCGTTTATCACGGTTACACAGCCAAAAATTCCGTTTCTCTAACGCCACATTAACGTTGGTTCGCTGGATTCATTTTCTTTCTTCTCCTTCAGGTTTTCTTCTAAAATCTGTCAAACGATCAAGCTGGAGTTACGTTGTAAAATATATCCGTGTATGATCACATGACCTTGACTAACTTGAAACGTGAACCCAGATGGACGTAGTACCATAAATAAAAACAAAGACATTTGTTAGGATATTTCAAAATTTAACTGCAGATTTTCCACATTTTAATACTGCTGCAGTAAACAGGTTGGTAACGTAGTATTTTATCAGAAGTTTGTTTCATTTACTAGTGTTAGAAATGACTTTCACGGGTATTATTTCCAATCATTTAATCAGTTAGATTCTTCAGAGGTTTTGGTTTTATCTGTTGTATGTATATAACTATCTGACGTAGAAATCCCTGTTCATCAGTGGTTTGGGTTTTGTTTCTCTGCTACTCACTAGTTACTGTAATACATAAATGTATAGGTTTCTGTTTTACGTATGGCTATCTAACATAGGAACTTGCATTCTTCAGAGGTTTTGGCTTTGTTACTGTGCTAGTTACTAGTCTATGCAGTACGATTGTCCTGCCAGTCATTTGGTTTACATTTACTTAATCCTGTAGGATTATCCTGCCAGTTGTACATTGGTTTACATTTACAGAATCCAGTAGTATTATCCTGCCAGGTGTACATTTGGTTTAGATTTACGTAATCCAGTAGGATTATCCTGCCAGTTGTACATTTGGTTTACATGTACAGACTCCAGTAGGATTATCCTGCCAGTTGTACATTGGTTTACATTTACATAATCCAGTAGGATTATCCTGCCAGTTGTACATTAGTTTACATTTACATAATCCAGTAGGATTATCCTTCCAGTTGCACATTGGTTTACATTTACAGAATCCAGTAGGATTATCCTCCCAGTTGCACATTGGTTTACATTTACAGAATCCAGTAGTATTATCCTGCCAGTTGTACATTGGTTTACATTTACAGAATCCAGTAGCATTATCCTGCCAGTTGCACATTTGGTTTACATTTACATAATCCAGTAGGATTATCCTGCCAGTTGTACATTAGTTTACAGAATCCAGTAGGATTATCCTGCCAGTTGCACATTGGTTTACATTTACAGAATCCAGTAGGATTATCCTGCCAGTTGCACATTGGTTTACATTTACAGAATCCAGTAGTATTATCCTGCCAGTTGTACATTGGTTTACATTTACAGAATCCAGTAGCATTGTCCTGCCAGTTGCACATTTGGTTTACATTTACAGAATCCAGTACGATTATCCTGCCAGTTGTACATTGGTTTACATTTACAGAATGCAGTAGGATTGTCCTGCCAGTTGCACATTTGGTTTACTTTTACATAATCTAGTAGGATTATCCTTCCATATCTAGATTTCTGAACTATTTAATGAATAAAATGTTACTAGCTTCTTACACTGGGTTATGCCATAATAGAGGCTTGTTTTACATTTTTTATTGAGGGTTTCACCTGAACTCATTTGTGGATCAAAACAATTCCATTGTTTACAAATACAAGGTATAAAATGTGGAACATTCAAGGCATTGTTTTTGCCGTACATACATGTAAGTTGCAGCAAGGATGTGCACATTAACGAGTGTATAGTAGAAGCTTCATAAAGACAGCTATCATAAATAAGTAACTCTCATGTGACAAGTCGAATGAGACACAGCAACAGATTGTGACATCAATTGTTTATATAAACAACTGCTATCCTAACAGAGAGAAAAGCTACAGAAAGTTTACATTAACTACACTAACTATGGCAATGTAATGGTCAACAAAAAGGAGAGGTGCTTGCAAATAGGCTGCCAATTAACAGCTTCTAACAATATCCACTTAGTGTCTAGTTTTGATTCAAGGAGCCAGCAGTGAATCAGCATAATTGAAGCAATTAGATGAAGGATCTACTTATCGACTGGACCTGGAGACGTATTTGGGACATCATAAAAATACCCAGAAAAACATATAAAACCCCATGGTTTGGGGTTGAAAACCAGTTCTCTCTGGTGTTTCGTGAGGCCAAACAAACCTGCATAAGTTTTCTCAGAAGAAGCCAAGAGCCAGACTACTGTAGTGAATAAGATGGTACTCTACCATTTCCAGCATAACCTTATATTTCTTAAAGACAGCTGACTTAAATTGTTCTTATCCTAAAAAAACAAGCCCTATTTTTTGTTTAAACATCATACTTTGATTTTTCTTTTGCATTGTTCTTTCACGGGTCTGCAATAGACGAGAGTCAGGTTTGTCTCTTAAGTTTTTATATTTGTTAGACTAAAGTGTCATGACCCTCCTCAGTGTTATTTGTCTGAAAGTTATAGAACTCTTTGGAGTAGTATTACATCAACAGTAGTGCTAACAAAAATAGAAACAGTTACCTGATGATGGCCACACAAGTGGTCCAAACATAATAAAAAAGTTAAATGAAAATAAACAATCCATTCAACAGCTGTATCTTTGGACTTTTATTTAAAGTAGTATCAACAGTTTATTTTAAATGTTATTCAAAGTTTTGCTGCATTTGCCAACAATATTAAGATGCATTTTTTTTCTGAATCTGTTTTTGTCACTAATGGCTGAATTTCCACTAGGTGGACTTCCAACCTTAGATGATCTTTGGAAGGACACAGAACCAAGCCTTAGTGCTGCCCAAGTATCACTGCGATGGCGAACGTTTGTGGCCTGTGTAGGTATCTCCATTCCGAGTTTGAAGCTCCGACAGCTTCCAACACCTTACATCACTCTTTGCTGTGTATTAAACTATATGTTAATCCAGCCTGTCGGAGTTAATTTGGAACCTTTTGAATTGGCCTCTTTCTTGGCTCAAGCTGTATCACCTTCTGCTAGGTCAATGGAATGCTTGGCTCATGTCCAAGTAAGTCTAGTAGTTTTATCATTTTAATTGGCTTACAAATTGTAACTTTTTTATTATTTTTGGTTTTCTAAAGTACTGTATTCTACAGTTAAGTCTTTAGTGTGTGAAATAGCTAAAAGCCTACTGTAAGGTCCATGTAGTCTGTCTCATTCATACAAGTTATACAGTCAAGATGGTATAAAATAATAAAACGTGAAGTTATCATTAATTAACATATTTTTATTTTAAAAAATAACGAGGTTATCATGTTTTCCAGGACAAGAGATTTTAGTTTCTTGGTTGAATGTATCCAGCAGTTGTTCATGTCTCATTGGTTAGTAACATTCCACACTTCGCATACATGCATGGTAATTTAAGAAAAAAATTAGGATGTTTAAAAAATGATAAGGCTCCTGGGACAGATAATATTTCTCCAAGGGATTTGAAGGAGGTTAAGGATTGGATATGCGAACGATTTGCTACTATTTTTTGTAAATCCTTGAATAGTGTGCTGGTGCCAAAGGATTGGAAGTTAGCCAATGTCACTCCTCTTTTGAAGGGAGATGATAAAAATTGTCTCAATAATTATAGACACATTAGTCTGACATAAGTTGTGGGAAAGTTTTGGAAAGTCTGATAAAAGATGTTTTGCAAAGTCATTTAACGAAGTCTAAATTTTATTGGATAGTCAACGTTGTTTCACAAGGGAAATATATTGCCTTACAAATCTTTTGACATTCTTTGAAAAGGTTACTGCTTACCTAGATGAGGGTAAGGGTGTAGATTTGGTGTATCTGGATTTTCAGAAAGCATTTGACAAGGTGACACATAAAAGGTTTGTAAAAAAATAATTTCTCTGTAGGTGTGGGGGAAATAAGTTAGCTAATTGGATGTAATAAAGCAGAGGGTTGTTATATATAAATTGATTTCATTCAAATTTGATTAATGTTACAAAACCTTTGCTCTATTCAATTTACATCAATGACATAGATGAAGGAATGGTCAATAAATTACTTAAATTTGCTGATGATGTTAAGGTCTTAGGTGTTGCTAACTGTGAAGAGAATGCTGCTACTATACAACAGGATTTGGGTCATTTGATGAGTTGGGAAAATAAATGGGAAGTGGGTTTTAATTATAATAAATGCAAGATAATGCTTGTGGGCTATCATAATTTAAATTATAAGTATAAATTGGATGGAAGTAACCTTAACAGTGTCATAAAAGAAAGGAATCTTTGTGTAATGGTTGATCAGTCTCTTAAGCCATCCGTGTGTTGGTAGTGGTAGGGCAAATAAAATTTTAGGTTGTGTCTACAGAAATATTGAATACAAGTCTAAAGAGGTTATAATTTCATTGTATAGGGCACTGGTTAGGCCACATTTGGAATAATGTGTTCAGTCTTGGGCTCCTTGCCTTAGGAAGGACATTGAATTGTTGAAAAGGGTTTGGAGGAGGGTTAATAGAATGGTGCCTGGATGGAGGGGTTATCATATGAGGAGAGATTAAGATTTTTGAAATTGTTTTCTCTTGAAAAAAGAAGAATTAGGGTGATCTGACTGAGTTGTTTAAGATTGTAAAGGGAATTAATAGTGTTGATGCATCATTTTTTTTCATATTTAACAGTGAGAATAGTAGGACTAGGAGACACAAATATAAATTTTGGCAAGATAGGAGTAACCTTCAGCTAAGTAAGTTTTATTTTTCTAACAGGGTGGTTGGCTTCTAGAATGAGTTGCCATCTGATGTTGTGGAGACAGTAAATTTAAGTGAGTTTAAGAAAAAACTTTATAACTATATAAATTATAAGGGCTGGGTTTAAGATTAGTTTGTTTTATTTATTTGATAGCTTTAGTTTAGTTTAGAGAATGGGACAGCTGAGATGGGCCAGTAAGTCTCTGTACTATAATTCACAGGGAACTTAACTAGTTTATTTAGTAATGTAAGTAAAATATACTAATAATAGGTAGGTAAACAACAATGTATAAGCATAAAGAACATGTAGTATCACCATCAATAAAATTCTTCCTGATGCTTATGACTCGTTGTTTGCCTGTCTGTTATTATATCAGCATATATGCTTCCATATTCAAGTAAAAAATTAAGATATAGTAATTAGAAACATCACATACAAAAAAACTTTTAACAGGAATTATTTACAAAATAAACGTTTATTGTATACTAGCTGGAGTACCTGTCCCCTGGATGGAAGCTATTCACATTTGTGATTAATGAAAGGTTATCTTAGGTCATGAAAAGCTGCTTCCCTATTATATAATTGTAAAAAATGCAAAAAGCTCATAAAAACTACAAAACACAAAACTGAAAATTTCTATGTATCTCCCCATGGACCCAATGAACCTTCATACCAAATTTGGTGAAGATCCCTCTACAGGGGGGTGAAGTAGTGGTAAAAAATACCCATAAAAACTGCAAAACACAAAACTAAAATTTTATGTACCCCTGCATAGACCTAATGAGCCTCCATACCAATTTGGTTGAAAATCCATCCACACCCTGCATAGTAGTTACATGGACATACAACAGACAGTACTATTATATTTATATAGATACATACAACAGACAGTACTATTATATTTATATAGATAACATACAACAGACAGTACTATTATATTTATATAGATAACATACAACAGACAGTACTATTATATTTATATAGATACATACAACAGACACTACTATTATATTTATATAGATAACATACAACAGACAGTACTATTATATTTATATAGATACATACAATAGACAGTACTATTATATTTATATAGATACATACAATAGACAGTACTATTATATTTATATAGATAACATACAACAGACAGTACTATTATACTTATATAGATAACATACAACAGACAGTACTATTATATTTATATAGATAACATACAACAGACAGTACTATTATATTTATATAGATAACATACAACAGACAGTACTATTATATT